GCATAATACTTCCAGATATCAGTATTACATATGAGTATAATTCATTGTTCTTTAATTTGTATAATTGAGCTATGCAAATTACATTTTTCCTTATGAAATAAATTTCTAATAACAGTTTTGTTAGTTCAATTTTAAAACACTAGTTCATTACTATAAAGGATGATATAATCAATATAATATTGATATTTTATATAAAATAACTCTATCAATCTTCTCTATAAATTCATTATATAATGAAATAATGTTAATTCCTAATAATATGAAGGACTCCAATATTATTTTTTAAGAATTAATATTTATTTTAAATGATTACTCTTAAGTATCAGTTGACTACACTAAAAGAGTAGATATTTTATTAAAAGTTGAATTCAATCTGATTATGCTACATTGAGCAAATATTAATAATGAAATAGTTATTCAGTATAATCATAGGGAATTTACTTTTTATTTCTCTTTGACATTAATTTATGGCGAAATTGATCTTTATTAATAATTTTTAAGTTTCAAGAATATTGCAGTGAATTCATTTTGTGCTTTATATTCAAGTAAATAATACTAGATATCATGAATATTAGTTAATCTATATAGAAAATATTATCTATACATCTGCATAACTTTAAACGAACATTATGAAACTTTAGAAACAAAATTCTATTAATATGAGAAATTAAATTTAGTATTCAATTTAGAAATAATTATACTAAAAACAATATCATTATATAACATTTCGATTACCATAACAAAAATATTATAAAAGGAAGATGTATTTTGAACTCTAAATAGTTCAAATTAGTTCTATTATAGACATTTATTGTAAGAATTTAAATAAGGAAAACTTGATTTCAGAGTTATTTGATATAGATTAGTAATTAGTTTTGATTGATCAAATTTTAACTTTGATTTATTTATAAATGATAACATTTAGCTTTTATATTCTTATGTTTATTTAGTCTAATAATGAAAAAAATGATTGCAAAAAAACTGTTTTTACCTAAAATCATATTAATGAATCCATCCTTCAAACTTATTAGACTTTAATTTCAGTCCCTTCGAATAGTAATAAAGAAAAAACTTAATTTGAATGATTTTTTTTTATTGTTAAAATTAATCTCTACTGTTATTTTCCCAATTTATAAATATATCAAAAAATATACAGAATATTAGTATGGAAATGTTATTTAATAGACAAAAAACAATTTGTCTATTAAATTATCAATTTATTTAATATATGACATGAAAATAAGTATATCAGTATTACTTATACATATTTGATAATTTTACTTATATTCTTTATTTTATTATAATGATTCATCAAAAACATATATAAAGATTTATTATTAACTTATGTCATTCAAAAGAAGCTTAAAATTTTCAAAAAATTATTAATGACTGAAAAAAAGTCATAGATTAAATTAATAATTAGAAAACTTAGTTCTATATGTTATCATTTAAATCAAGCATCTTGATAAAAATAATGTAATGTAATCATAATATAATATTTCAATCATCCTGCACAACAATTAGATTTTGATCATAAAGAATACTTAATTTGGGCCTAAATTAATGCAATGAACAAATGGAATAAAAACAATGGATTCTGTATGCATTCATATTTGCTTAGTAGGTTGAGAAATCATATTCCTTGTGTATATTATTTATTTTCAGTACTTAATATTAAAGTTATTAGTGTATTTACTTAATTTGATGCATTTAATTTAACAAAACCTGGGTGA